TTCCTTTTAAATATATGATAAAGTTATCATGTAACTTTCTTTTTTTCTTCCCTCCCTCTGCCACCCTAGAGATGGCTATCATTAAACACAAATATCTGTATATATATTATGTGTGTGTAAAACCCTTCTATACATACTTCTATTCATCAATTCTTTCTCTGGATGTAGAGAGCATCTTCCTTCATAGATCCTTTATAGGCAATTTGGGAACTTATAGTCAAAATTACTTAGTTGTTCAGTCATTCTTAAGACAATATTATTGTTACTGTATACAATGTTTTCTTGGTTCTGCTCATTTTGCTCTTCATTATTCCATTATAACTCTGGCTGTATATATTTAAAGAAATCCACATCAGTGGGTAACTCGTAGTTTACACAGCATGGTGTCTGGTGACAATAAAAATTTCCATGAGCTTAGGTCATGTCAGGGATATTGCTTTCCTGTCAAGGAGGGGGAAAGAATTGTTATACAACTTAATCAGACTCCTTATTCTGTCACCATCACTGCTGATGCCCAGAACATCATGTTCCCCGATCTTCTTCCTGGGCATGTAAGTGATCTTCAGTAAAAGGACAAGGGAAGGGAGGAGAGGAGATGGGGAATCGTTGTCATACTACAAGTAGGCAGCTGACCTCCCTACTCTAAAGACAGGCTGTTGAATTCACTCATCTGCCCAAAGCATAGGTCCCTCATCTCAAGTTGAAAATCACTGTTGATAACTCAGAAGTTAAAGATACTTAAATGAGCAGAGATAGAGGGGTAGAAAGAATCCATCTATCCACATTCTGGGATAAAGGAAGAGGAACATACATGGAAAAGGGGAGGACTAGGTCTGCCTTTGGAAAAATGAGCATGGAGATAAAAGAAAACAACATTTATTGCATCTCAGGTTTATAAGTTTGCACTTTAAGGTTTGCAAAAACTTTCTTCACAACAATCCATTGAAGAAAGCAATGCATGTATTATTTTTCCCAACATACAGATGAGAAAACCAAAGCAAAGAAAAGTCAAAGTACTTGGCCAATATCCCACAACTGGTAAGTGTTGGAGCCAGGTCTAAATCTGTTTCATTTTTGTCTTCATGTTTCCAGTTCCTAGAATAGTGCCCGCCACACAGAAGGCTCCTCATAAATGCTTCTTGCTTCTGGCTTGACTCTAAGCTCTGAGCTCTTTCTACAACATGGAAACATACAAGCTTTTTTTCTACTGGAAAGCTGGAAATGACCAACTTTAGCCAGTCATCAATGGAGTTAAATCATTATTTTGAAAGAATATGAAGGCTAAACCAATGCCCAGAAATTCAGTGACTGCACTGAGCATCTCATTACCTAGTTTAACTTTGGAATGTCCTGACACTCTATGGACCATGAATGCACGAAATGGGAATTGCAAATGACTTCCACATAGCAAGGAGGGCTTTTCAATGCATGAGCGGAAAGATGAAGAGTTGTACAAGTGTGACATTCTCAGTGCTAATGAGTGTTCTGCATGCCTAAGGTTTCTATACTTTTTGCTCTTAGTGGTTCCATAGGATGATACATGGATGAGTCAGCCTTCTGTGTTAGGTGATTTACTCATTTCCTGAATGCCAGGCATCAGATACTCATTAAGTTTCCAATCATTCCACAGCAGCAACAGGTGGTGAAACAAAGCTTCTGTGGCTGATTTCCTCAATGCCCTGGAAACATGGAAGGTATTTGTGCTCTCTCTGTAGCGGCAGATGATAAAGGGGGCAGGAGGGAAGGAAAGTTGAATAGCAACAGGAAGTATTTCCAAAGCATAAACAAAAACTCAGATGGTGAAGCAAATCTTTTGGCTACCACCCATTCTACATTTTTTGACATGGTGGTTTCATCTTATAGAGGTCCCTGCTCAGGCAAAACGTGAAGTCCTGGCTATCTGATTGACTAATTGGCAGATCCTCAAGTGAATCTGTTATCCCATTGAGTATCCCCTCAACCGTGAGAAAATTCAACCCATTCACACATCTTTTTTAGTCTGTGGGAGTCTTGTCCATCCCTTTCCTAAATCCTCCAGAGAAGATCTACCCAACATGCCAGAGGCCTTTCTCTGTATTTTTTTTTGTTTTCTTCTAGTATTTCATAATTATCCCCTATGACATTTGGTCAAAAACATAGTAAACTGAAGGGACATCGTAAGTGAAGCCACATCAACAGTGCTCTATCCACTGAACCACCTTGCTGCCTCCGAGGCAAAAGTTAAATGCCTTGCCCAAGGTCACATAGCTAGTAAGTGTTTGAGACTGGATTTTAATTCAGATCTTCTTGACTCCAGGCCCAGCACTCTATATCCACTAAACTATCTAACTGCCATATAAGTTATAGGCTACCAACTGACATTTACAAATCTACTAACTTCTTAAAGTTAGTATCTAACTTCTATCTCTATCTCTTAAATGACTTCCAAACCTACTATATGCTGAACTAGAAAGAAAAGGTGAAATGTATTAGAGGAAAACATTGGCCCAACGGACTACATAGTTATACTGATAGCTATCTCCAAGTACTCAGTGTGGACACCTCTCTAGATAATGCTAAATGAGGATTTATGTCAAGTGACAGGATCTGTCCACACCTAGAGCCCCAGATTACCACTAGCAAAACAAAGTGCTTATTTTAGTTGGACTACCTCCACAAAGCAAACTAGGAAAATTCCTATGGGGTTGGGGCATAAGACCATCTTTTTTCCTAAAGGTAGTAGACTACTGGCTTTTACTCTCCCCAACATGAGAAAGTATAAAAACTGTGAGTTACTCCATCTCAAATGCCCACTGGATTAGTCTGAACCTGGAGCATATGAAATTATTAAAATAAAATAAGAACCTAACATTAAATCACCCCAATAAAATAATAGGGATTAGTAACTAACATCATCATATGGAAAAGAACAGGATAAGTGTATTTTCCTTAAATTCTGTGCAAAAAAAAACCCACAACAACAACAAGGCAGGGAAATAGAGGAAAAGAAAACAAAATTCACTTTTAAGTGAGCTATCCTTTGATACCGCCTGAGCTCCCTGTCAGGGCAGCTATTTGTCAATCTTCAGGATTCCTGCTGTTATTCTGAGTAGCTGCTAAAGCTAATGTAGTTCTAGTTCTCAGTTCTTCCATAATATGCCTCAGGTTATATCCCTTTCCCATGAAGCTACCAGTTTCTCTTTTAGCCATCTCTAAATGTCATTTTCATAAACTTCTTTTCAAATTTCTGACCTTAAAAATTAAAAGCATACATACATACATACATATATGTATGTATGTATATATGTCTTGTGTGCATGTGTGTTTGTGTATACACACATATGTTATGTGTGTGTGTATATATATATATATATATATATATAAATAAAAGTTTCCCTATATTCATGGAAACACTGAAAATTGACACAAAGTAATTCTAAACTGCCTAAATGTAAGTTATTTTATGCATTTTTCTTTGTTAAATATCAAGGCATGTTGAGTGATTATAATTGCTTGATATTCGGGCAGTTCAGGAAGTTATTGTCATAAGAGTATTTTTTTCTTCCACTAAGGAATCCAAGTGGAAAATAGCTAAACTTCTATGACATTGGTATAATAAGAGGCACAACTAAAATAAAAAAAAGAAAAATGCCAGAAACATATTAGAATTCTGAACACCATCCAAAAAGACAAAGCTGAGAATTCACACTGATTTAATTCTACTGTTTATATATCTTATATAGCATAACAAAGTAGTTTTATTTGAAATTCATGTGGTTATATATTCTTCAGGCAATTCAATACTTTAAGACATTTATTCTGTATTTATTTTATTTCGTGTAGCACATCCTGCCTGGGAGCTTTCACCCAGATTCAGAAATACGTTTTATCGAATGTATAATGGAAATTGAGATGAACTTCTATGAGATTTGAAAATCACAAGTAATAAATCTATTCCCATCACTATCATTAGGCACTGTACCCCTTTCCCACATAGTGCCATGAGCAGCTAAGCACCAGGGACAAATCCCTATTGACATGCTGGACACAAAAATAACAGTAATAGCCACTTTTAGAGAAACCTCCAAGTTGCAGAAGGAACTCTTGGTACCTTGGAAAGATTCATACACATTTGGTGCATTCCTAATGATTTCGTGCATGTTCTATTTTGAACAATGTGCCTGGGTGAAAACAAAGTGTTAAGTGATTCCTCAAGTTCAAAAACAGCTTAAGATTTACAGAAAGTAGATTGTTTATCCCAAGGATTATATCACTAGCCATAGCACATATATAAGAAGGAACTAAAAATAAAATAAAATATAGTTCTGAAAGAGCAAACAAACTGTATCCAAGATAGGGAAATCAGGTGTCTTGTTAACTCCCAACTGAAATACCTGATACTAATTCTGTCCTCTTAGTAAAATACTTTCAAATTAAACTTCAATAATTTTCTTCCAGAGACCAAATAAATGGAAAGTCAATGTAGAGATTATTTCCTAGTACGTGAAATACTGTTTATTGTGGTAAAGTGTTTAAATACTGAGGTACTTGGTGGAGATTAGGGGCAGTAAGTGAACATTGTAGGGAGGAAACCTTTGTGAATACATCTGCCTAAATGCCAGCTTTAAAAGGCTGTTAAGCCATTATTCTAGCCCAAATCTGACAAGATTTTTGGAATGGAATCAAAATCTGAAGTCAAAGTGAGACTCTAGACTTTAAAGAAATTCTGACTTCAAATAAAAATGGCATTTGCATATTCCTTCATAGATGCAGTGGGTTAGGCTGTATAGGAAGTCCAGATGGTACGAACTTCAGCAAGACCTGTGTTTGATTTTCTACTTTTAAAAGCTTAATCAATTCAAAACACTTCATGAGGGATCAGAAAGACAGCACCACCTTCTTCTTGTTGTTGTTGTTGGCTTGTGTTTTCCCTGGGTTTTGTTTTTCCTTCTGTCCTCCACTTTGGGACTTTGTCCATTTTCAAGCCCTATTACACCAAGACTGCAGATTTGAGTATTTACCTTTATCCCCGGAAGTCCAGGCAGCCCAGGCAGCCCTGGTTCACCCTACATAGGAAAATTACATAACATTATAGAACAGTACTCACTGAGGCACAAATTGCTGGAGAGAGAAATGGCAAATGTGGCTGGAATCACTGTAGACACCCTTTCTGCATACATACACACAGAAATACTGTCTAACTCCAAGAAGGATGGGGAGATTGTGTGGTTCAGTCAACTCTTGATGATTCAGGGGTTGGTTAATCAGTCTGCAGATTACTTATACAACTTTAGACTATTTCACTTATCATTAGCATCCTCCCTAAAAGGTACACAAGGAAAGAGCTAACTCAAGCCAGTACCTTTTGCTACTTCCAGACAGTGCAGGAAGGGAGATTGAAGCTACTGGTTAAAGTGAAGCTTTAGGGTTCAACACGGAATTCAAATATCCATGTTAGCCCAATAACCTCTTACCAACACGTAATCAAGAGTTGGCTGTGTGAACAGATGTTAACATCAAAACAGTGCATATAGAAAGTCTTCCTAGTTTTTAAGTAGAGGAAGGCTTCTTCTACATTCTTGGATGACGAGGAGATAAGTGAGTAGTTAAAATTATGCTTAACACCACTGTATATTTGTGACAATTGTTCAAGTCTAGGAAACCCTACTTAGCTACTTGGTGGGTAGTGTGCAGCTGTTCAGTGAAGGCAGGTTTGAGATTAAGTGGTGCACTCTGGGTGAGTGTGCTGGAGTCACACTAAACCTTCTCATTTTCATAGAATTGTCTGCATTATTTTAAGCACTAAGTGTGGTGACAGGATGTACTGAGACTACATTGCTCAGAAAATCCCTTGCATTCCACTGATTAAATCATCAAACAGAGTGAAAATGGAGGGGGGAAAAGCATACACATTGGGGCTAGAACAATTATATGGATGTTATCTGATTTACACAAATTACACTATTTCACCATGGTAACCCAGTGCAGATAGACCCATTCCTTCATCAAGTAAAGAGAGAGAGGAGAGGGAGGAAAGGAGGACCAGGCACAGCTGGAGCAACTCATTTCATGTGCAAATCTGTTGAGAAATTCCAGGATATTTCAATTAGAATACCTATTCCTTTCAAGTTCTGCAAATATGTAATTTGCTAAAAAAAAAAATGATCTGGAAAATAATAATTTCCAAAATGATTCACTGAAGGGTGAATACAAAGGGAGAAAACATACTAGTTTTCTCCTGATTTCATTCAAAATTCTTTTCAGAATGCAAAAGAAAAATCATTCTGACTGAAAGCTTTAAGAGACAAGTATACCTACATTTTAAGTGTAAAATGGGTGCAAGACATATTTCCCAACAGTTCTGCTTCATTGTTGATAATGCTTCTGGTCAAATCACATTTCTCTGGATAGACTGAACATCATAGTCATAACAAAACACTTCTCTTTCTTTTCTTCCTCTCTCAAAGAAGTTAAATCTTTCTAGCAGAACTGATTCTATCCATGTGAGATTATGGTCTTAGTTTTGGTCATTTTCCAGAAATGGACTATATTTTTTTCTTTCTTTTAAAGTGTGTATTTCCTTTGAAACCATACTAAAGAGAAGTCTAGAAAATGCAACTATTGAAACTAAGTAGAACTTGTGTGTGTGTATGTGTGTGTGTGTGTGTGTGTGTGTAGATATGTGTTTATATACAATGCAAAGTGAAGACACATTTAGAATAATGGAGTTTAACTCACAAAAACATACCTTAATTGACTTTAGGATAGTAACATTGCTTTTCCCCCCCAAATAAAAGGTGTCTCTGTGATTTATGAGAGAAAATTATTACAAGGAGAATCAATACGAATATGAATACAACTCTGGACTTCTAGGGAGGATAGATTGTCCAGAACATTTTGGAATATAATAGAATAGAATGTAATAATGTTTGAATAGGGGATTTTCTTATACAGTTAAACATTCCCTTCATATACAGAGAGCAATATATATGTATTTCTGTAAGTTTATGTTTATTTTGTAGCCATTGATTATGCTAACTGACCATCTGTGATCATCCTAGCTTGGCTTTTATTAATTTGTTATTCATCCAATCTATTTTTTTGGTTGATACAGACATAATTTCCCTCACTGTGGACTTTCTCCTCCATCTGTTTGAAGATCTATTCTGCATGCTCTATGTTCCTCTTTCTCCTCTTTAACACAATCAAGGCTCTCTCCATCAGTTTGGGTAGTGCAATCAAAGCTATTTCTTCTTTTAGCAGAAATGAACTCTCCTTTTTTCATATTTATCCACTCCTGTGCTCAGGAATTCTTTTGGGTCATGGCTGAAAGGCAGCCCTAATAGCTAGGTACGTGTGGAGAGCTAATGGGGCCCTTTAGCACCAGAAGAATAAAACTTGAATGACTGTAAGAAAAACAAAGCCTGATTCCAGGAAACCCTGTCCAGCTTCCCCCACAGCAGGGTACTCTCCTCCCACACCAGGTACCTGCTGCCACCAGCCATCAACACTAAAAACCACTGGTCCCAGCTGTTCAACTTTCTCTCCTGCTCAAAAAAAAGGGGGGGGGCTATTTTCCCTGAATGAATAATGCTTGACGAATTTTCCTTTCCCTGTTTTAGATTTAAAATACTTGTGGAAAAGTAGGGAGCAGTATTCTGAAAGTGAATGCGGTACATAGGAACGGAAACTCACACATTCAACACAGATGCACATATGCATTAGAGCATCCATGCTCTAATGCAAAGCATAGACAGAGAAATTTAAAATAGAGCTAAAAACAAATTCCTTACAATCTTATGCTAGATTTCAGATACAAAAGTTCTGTACTCATCAGGGTGAAATTAAACGTTCAGAAAGTCGAATCTGCAACTGGGTTGGTGCTCTGTTATGTTTTTATAAGGTTGCTCCTAAGACAGGAATTACAATTTGCCCACTGCCAGCTACAACTGAAGCTTGGATGACCACTGTACTGTGGAGGGGGAAAAAGTTGTGGGGAAGTGGAATTGAGCTTACAGAAACTCCAAATCAAGAGAGAAAAATGGCATTTACTGCTATAGACATTCTACTTCTCATCTAGTACTTGGATTTATAAACTCTGCAAAACCTAAATATTCTCTCATTCAAATAAGCAAATTTCAATGACTTTAGTGGGTAGTGGTAACACTGATATCAACTGGTGCTGTCTTGACCAAATATTTGCAAAAACCTGGGGGAGGGGTCTGCTAACTTTTAGGAATATATTTATTTAACTCCAAGGTCAACATTAAATAAATTCAATCTTTTTTCTCTAAATGCAATGTTAAAGCATTTCTTTGGAATCCAAGGAAATGTAAAGGAGTTACCTATGAGCCTTCCAGGAACAGATTTATACTACAGTGCCAAGTAACCTTGGTAACGTTCAATGAAAGCCACTTTCAAGTGAAAATCTTACATTTAAACCAACAGAAACTATAGAAGTGTTTTTGTATGTAAACTAAAGTGGTTTTAGACACATCTGCTTACCAAATCACATTTCAGATTGAATAATTTAAATATGACCTACATATGTAAAGTTCAAGAGACTTAATATCTCTTATCATGAGTAAAATCCACTTGTGTATCTCATCCTCTAGTGTTCTGTGGTCCCAAGTTCACAGCACTCAATTCAAAAGTCTGCCATTTTCTCTTCAATGGAAGAAATCAAAGGAATCTTAGGTTAATACTTGAAATGTTCTTAGGGTCCAGAAGGAAAAGCTTGAACTTCCACTGATTACAGTGGAACTGACTGGGTTTAGTCCTTTTCTCTCCTTAAAAGGATTGCGTTCGACATTAGAGCCCCAAATGAAAAGGCCCTTTCAAAAATTACTTGAATCCTTAAGTGTTTAAAACAAAAGACTAGCCCTCTCAATGTCTACATGAGTGTGAGAACAACATTTTATTATGTCCCCAGGTTCCAGATGAATACAATAAGATTCATTCTCTCATTTCAATTTCACTAATGAAGTAAATTCCATCTTTCGATTCATCTTTCTTTCTACAACATCATATGCCACCAAAGACAAAGCCATAATTTCATACAAGATCTAATCTAATGTGGAATTCACATTTACTAGCTAGTGACAATACATCTGTTATTCCAAATCTGATTGCATTGGGCATTGAAATCCAGATGCTCACATGATAAATGACTACAGTTGTTTCCTGCACATTCAACTCAAATGAGCAGATAAATCTAAACATACTTAACAGAGCCTTTAATTTATTACCCAAGTGAGGCATAAATAATAAACAAATGTAAGGTTTCCACAGATTAACTGGTTAAAATAGTTTTGATTAGTGTCTTTAAATGAAACTCAGGTTTATTAACAGAGTTGGTTTGCATATCATAAAATTGTCTACATAGGGTGTTACAAATAATTTCTATTTAATACCATCAATAAGAGAGCATCTACGATGAAAAAAAGTGTAATTCTTTTTAAGAGCTGCCCATCACTTCTCATTAAGGTTATTTTGTCAACATGCATCTCTTCTGAACAAATGAAGATGAGAGAGCAAATGTGGTTAAACATGCAAGATTAAATAGTTAGCATTCCACCCTAACTGATCTTTGTTAGTCTCAGACAGCTGAGCATAGGCTGACTTTTGGTTCAGAAAATGGTTCCTTACCACAAAGAAATTTATTTTATCCCCACCTTTGGCCTTAGTGAACGTCATGGTATTTAAAACACAAAAGCACCAGCAAAAACTCTGAACGTAATTCATTAAAAATGTACTGTTTTGCAGTCCTTATTTTCAGACAACATTTAATTGTAGTCAGCTATTGGTAGAGATGAAATGTATGAAGATGAAATAAAGAACCTAGTAGAGAGAATGTGAGAGAAAGAGAGAAAGAGAAATCTTTGAAATATTACCTTTTGCCCCGGTCGGCCAGATTCTCCAGGTTCTCCCTGACAAAAGGAAAAGGACAATTCAATTCAAAGAGGAATTATTTAGTACCCTGTGTCAGGCACTACATCTACTAGGTACTGGATGACAAGATGAGAGGAACAATCTTGTCAATTATTTTTTGAAAACATCTTGACTACAGTCATGCTCTACTTTGTCCGGAATACTCAGGATTCAGCCTACATTCAAGTCAATCCTATATACATTTGTTAAATACCCACCAAGTTTAAGGTACTCGGTGTTATGTGCTGGACATAACTCTTGTCATTCATCTGTATTTTATCTTAGTATTCAGTATCTCATTAAACAATTTATCCACAAAACCAGGTATCTTTGAAAACCAAGGAGAATGGGTGGGCATATTAATAAGCCCATATTAATAATACTAACAGGTCAACTGTCAGATTTCCACCTGATATTCCTCTACTTCCTTTGGGTCCTCAGTTTATGAGCCAGTGCTTTTTTTCATGACTAAAATAATGCATCAGAAAAGTAGTTGCTGGTTAGTCAGTTTTTCTGTCATCAGTACCTCTTCTGGGGTTTTCTTTGCAAAGATAATGGACTGGTTTGCTATTTCCTTCTCCAACTCATTTTACAGATAAGGAAACTAAAGCAAATAGGGTTAAGTGACTTGCCCAGTCATACAGTGAGTGGACAGATTTGAACTCTAGTCTTCCTAAATCCAGACCTGGCACTCTATCCACTGTACTGTGTAGCTGCCCATCAGGAAAATATATTATGATTAATGGTTATAGTTAGTGAAAGGGAAAAAATAAAATAAACTTCAAAATGAAGACCACGACTCTCTGGGGGACAGCCCATGTTCAGAAGACATACAATTACCTTAATTCCTGCGGCAGAAGATCCAGGGTCACCCTGATTGAAAGCCCACAAGAAAATATTCCATATGTCATAATGATAGTGGTACAGGAAGCATCAATACATATACAACCAAGATTACTAAGGAATGTATTCCAAGTGTCTCTTAATTCAGACTGACTAAACTCCAGAGGAGTTCATACAAATGTACTTATTATTAAGATGTCATTATTTTTCAATGTGAAACAATTTATTTTCTATGTATATCATCAAAGTTGTTCTCCCCCCACCTGTTAAGGATTCCATTCTTTAATAACCAAAACTAACCTACCTTTTCATATTTTTTTTTCACCTTGAGACTGTACTAAAAATGTAATAACATAATGTCTTTTTCTGCTTTTTCATTCACACATATGACATATGGTATGATTTACTGGCTTCCATTTAGAAAAAGTGGATAAATTTAATTACATTAAATTTAAAAGGTTTTGTACAAATAAAACAAATGTAGCCAAGATAAGAAGGAAAGCAGAAAACTGGGAGAGGGATTTTATAGACAGTTTTTCAGATAAAGGGCTCATATCTAAAATATATAAAGAACTTGGTCAAATTTTTAAGAATACAAGTCATTCCCCAATTAATAAATGGTCAAAGGATTTGAACAGGCAGCTTTTCCAATGAAGAAATCAAAACAATTCATAATCATATGAAAAAATGATCTAAATCATTATTTATTAGAGAAGATCCAGGGGATCTTGACTATTTGGGGGTCATGTACCCCTTTGGCAGTCTGATGAAAACTATGGGTTCCTTAGAATATTTTTTTAAAAATTCATAACTGAAGGAAAATGCTAAATTTCAGTTAGATATTATTGAAAATTGGTGAGAATTGATTTGATTTTTTTCCCCCATCCAAGTTCATGGCCATGTTAGAACCTGTATGTGGCAGGAGCAATATTCTAACCCTTCTTTCATTCATGTTAAGTACTATTTTCTTAAAAGATATTGAGATTTTCTTTGAATACTCATTGGTTCAGGAGACTAAAGACTCACACTACTGATGTCATTTCCTTATCACCTGAATGAACCACACAGAGTTCCAAGTATACTCTGAGGCCTTCCAATTAAACGTTTATTAAGCACCTCTAGGCACTGTGTCAATGGGGACACAAAATGGGGCAGAAGACAGTTCCTGTCCTCAAGTTCCTGTCCTCATTACAAATGGATGGAGAAAAAACAACATACAAACAAATATATATATATATATAGTAAGCTATCTACAGGATAAATAGGAAATGATTAAAAGAGGAAAGGTACTGGCATTAAGAAAGGCTTCCTGTAGGGAGTGAGATTTTATTGTTTGGGTTTTTTTTTCAGGAGGTGAGATTTTAGTTGGGACTTAAAGGAAGCCATGGAGGTCAGTGGTTAGAGTGCAGAAGTGGGATGATTCTAAACACGGGGTGGGGGGGGTAGACAAAGAAAGTATCTTGTTCATGGAACAGCCATGAGGCCAATGTCACTGGATCAAAGAGTATATGTCTGGAAGTAAGGTGCAGGAAGACTGAAGAGGTAGCAGAGAGCTAGGTTATGAAAGGCTTTGAAAGCTGAACAGAGCATTTTATATTTGCTCTCAGAGGCATAGGGAGCCTCTGGAGTTTAGAGTATAGAGGTGACATGATCAGATCTGCATTTTAGGAAAATCACTTTAGTGGCTGAATGGAAAATGGACCAGAATGGGGAGAGGCTTGAAACAGACAGACCCATCAGCAGGCCACTGCGAGGGGACAAGGCCTGCAGCAGCGGGATAGCAGCTTAGACATAGGTAGTCAGAGAGGCTGACTCCTTAGGTTGCAAGCTTAAGGGACTGGAAGGATGGTCTTGCTCTTTACAATAATAGGGGAGGCTTTAGAGGGAAACATATTGAGTTCTGTTTTGGACATATCGAATTTAAGATGCCTACTGGACATCCAGTTTGAAAAGCCTGAAAGGCAATTGAAGATGATAGACCATGATGGCTAACTCAGGCACGGGAGCTTCCCTCAGCCTAATCAATTGAAGATGTCTTCAATGTCTATCTCTATTGGATATCCTTCTCCTGCTATGGCCAAGTCAATCTCTTTTTGTCAAGTGTTGAATAACCCACAAGTGTCTTGATTTATTCTAATTATTGAACATAAACTACCAGGGGACTAGCTCTGAGTCAGGCACAGCTCAGAACACCCTGCTATAAACAAATGCTTAAACTATGGATGACAAACATGGTGAACTAGAGATCCTAATACAGGTACAAGTAAATTTGATATGTGTTACTGTGATGGTTCGAGAAAGGTTTAACCTCATCCAAAAGGAAAATTATGGGTAAAACATCTGGAGGGGGAAGGGGCGGGGCAGCAATATTGTATATTAAGAATATATACTCAAGTATAGGAATCAGGAGCTAGCAAGTCAATGCACATTTATTAATAGACTACTATTGTACTAGGTGCTGTATTAAGTGTTGCACCAAAGGGGTAGGCAACATTTGAGTGAAGGTCAAAGGAAGGAGAACCAGAAGTGATAATGTTATCAAGTTATATTACAGACAAAAAGAGGAAAGGGACCGGGAGTTTGGGAAACAGATCTCAAATCTGATATGGAGGCCTGCTAGAGTTGTAATGGGAGACTTCCATTTTCTGGACATATGCTAGAACTCTCTCTCTTTTGCTCTCTGCCAAAAGCAGAACAGTTAATAACTACTTGGCTTGTCCTAATGAGAATTTCATCCTTCAAAAGGTGGAGGAAACCACCAGGGGAAATGCAATTCTGGAGCTGACCAATAAGGAAGAAATGGTTACTGAAGTAAAAATGATGGAAACTATGGGTCAATGTGACCACTCTGCATCTTAAAATTTGTGATCAAGGAGGGGAAAGGAAGCTAGAAATGGTGTGGGAAATTGAATAGCAAAGGAGTCAGGGAAATGATACAAAGGATCCTTCACCAGGAGAAGTCAGCTCATGAAGGATGGGAAGGACTTAAGATGGCAAGTCTGAATATCTAAAGAGAACAAATTTATTGACAATGAAAAAAAGAAATAGTTTAAAGAGATAGATTCATGAAAGAGCCAAGGTGAAGCTCATGAGGAAAGCCTGACTTTTAAAAAAGACCATCTGAGAGAAAGAAGATGATGAAAGAAAGAAAGGGGAAAAGAAGAGAATAAATATTTCTAAAGCACCTACTGTGCTTTTCAGCCAGGCACTATGCTAAACACTTATAATTTATTTCATTTGATCTTCACAATAATCCTGTGAGGTAGGTGCTGTTATTATCCTCATTTTACAGGTGAGGAAACTGAGGCAAACAGTGACTTGGCCAGGATTGCACATTTAGGAAGCATTTGAAGCTGATCTGAATTCAGGCCTTCCTAATTGCATCATCTAGCTGCCCCAGCTAATGGAAAGGATGACTTCTTAGTTGTGGAAAGGATGATAACTCACAACTTGTTGAAGATAGAACGACTCAACTCTTACTTTGCTTATGCATCACCGCCTCCCTTATTGGGTGAAGGAGAGAAAGAAATGGAATTATCTTTGGTGCCAAAGGGGCCAAGAATCTTTGGACAGGAAACTGCAGAACAAAAATTGCTAAGAGGGAGTTGATATATCCAAAAGGTGTAAGAAAATAGTAAAAAAAAAAAAAAAGCATCTAACTGTCCTTGATGAATTTATATCAAAAGACTATCGAAAGAACTGTTGAATGTGATTGCTGATGATCAAATCTTTGAAAGAATATAACCAACAGGAGACATACCATGGGTCTGTAGAAGGGCAAATACTGTAATTTTTAAAGTGGAGGAGAATCAGTTTCAAAAACTCTAAGTTTGTCTCTAATTCTTAACAAAATTCAAGAATGTATTATTAAAAGGATGGCTAATGAACATTTAGAAAGGGAAGAAGTAGGCAAAAAGAAAGCACATGGCTTTGCCAAGAGCAGGTTGTGCCAGAATAACCTAATTTCCTTTATTAGCAGGCTTACTAAACTGGTAGATCAGAAGAATATTGCAGTTATCATTTGCCTGAATTCCAGCAAAGTATCTTAACTGAATCTTGAAGAGAAGCAGGAATTCTAAGAGTTGGGGGTGAGGAGGGAGAGCAGTCCAGGTATGGGGAGGTAAGCAAGCACAAAGGCAAATATGCATGTGATGGGCTGTTGTGTTCAGAAAAGATTAAATAAAACATTTCCTCTGGGTGGTATTTTAGGTGAGGGAGAGAAATTTGAAATCTGTTCAGAAAGATGAGTTGGATTAAGATTATAAAATATCTTTAGTGCCAGGCAGAAGAGTTTGTATTTTATCCCAAAGGCAAAAAAAGGAATCATCAAAGCTTTTCGAGCAAAGGAATGACAGGGTCACACCTGTGTTTTACAAGTATCAATTTGACAACTATGTGGAGGATTCATCGAAGAGGGAGAGGCTGGACTTAGGGAGAATAATAAGGAGACTATTAGAAGAGTTCATCAGAGGCTTGGTGGCTACATGGTCAAGGAGAAGAGAAGGGAAGCAAGAAGGGTTATGGAGCTAGATTTGACAAAAGTTGGCAACTCATTGGCTATGTGGGGGCAAGTAAGAGAAAAAGGAACACTGCGTGGCAAATAGAGTGCTAGACTTGGAATTAGCAAGTCCTGGATTGAATCCTACCTCAGACACGTACTAGCCATGTGATCTTGAAATTCGTCTACAAAAGGAAAGTGTTGGACTCTAGTGACCTCTAGGGTTTTTTACAGAGCTAAATCTAGGGGTCCTATGATCCAAAGGGCTGACGATGATTGCTGGGTTGTAAACCTGGGAAGGATTTTAGACCTCTCAACAGAAATAAGGAAGTTTGGAGGTCAGTGGGTTTAGGATGGAGGTGAAAATAGAGAGTTCTGTCTTGGATAGATCTCAATCCAGACACCTACGAGATATATATGTTGAGATGTTGATTGATGTTGGAGGAGAGAAGAGAGAGATGAAATTAGATATGAAGATTTGGGATTCATTTGAAGAGATGATTATTGAACTCATGATAATTGAGATCACTAA